GGGATTTTTCGACAAACGTTGCGAAGTTGAGCGTGCGCAGGGAGGAGGAAACTTTGCGGCGTTCTTTTGGTCACTCCCCCCGCTACGTCAGAAAACGAAAAGTGTTTTGCTCCACGAGTTTAGCTACCCTGGTGAGGTAGAGGCTAGCTTCCTGGATTTGATCGCGCCTCGGCTGCACGAAAGCTCGTGCAGCCGGCGCAGCAGTTAAGGCTACGTTCTCGCGCTTCTAGCCTTTTCAGTATTGGCGACGTGAGCCCGTGCGTGAGCTATCGAAAGCGTCGCTGTGGTCGGCCCACCACAATTGGCCGAATGCTGACTACGACGTCAGCAAAGGATGTCTCATCGATGGAAATAAGAGGAATGTAAGAACTTCAATTTTGACGGTGTCCGGAGTGTTGCTTTGAGAGCGCTGTGATTTCAGGCTTCCGCCATGCCCATTACAAACACCATCGAACTTGTTGTTCGCAAGGTAATGACGTCACGAAAGGTAACCGAAAGAGGGCGCCACCGAAACATCTCGCCGCTAATAGTGCATGCATAGCCTCCTCTATTTTGACAAAGCCTGTGAGATCGCCACGAGACGCGGCAGCCAAAAATGAAAAGGTAGAGCGGCAGACTACGGATAAAAGGAGAGTCCAGAGCTGAGAGAGTCTAGGGTGCCTACATGTCTGTCTGTCTAAGGGTGAAGACATCCATTGTTGCCCTGAATGTGCCAGCGCGTGACGCTCTCGCGCACTCGGTGCGTGACTAGGTCGGTAAAATGGCGTCTATGCATTAACCAAAGCTACGCGCTCGAGCTGAGTGACATCAGATTGCGCGCGCTTCAAAATGCATAAAAAAACGATTGGGCGGAAAAATGGCTGAGATGTCACCACTCAAGCGAAAGCGCGCGTGTGTGTGAAGGCACTCTAAGAGAGTCATGTAACGGGCGCCCCGCTGCGGCGAGACGCCGAAACGCACTTCTCCCTAACGACGGAATGTCCGCTCGTGCTTCTCGCGTTCCTCGCGCTAACGCTTTTGCACTGACTATAGTCAGTGCACAGCTTTTGCAGCGGCGAGTTTTTGCAGACACAGTCTTGCAAATAAAGATTTCCTTGTAGCAAACTTCTTTCCAACAATCATTTACTTGCCACTGCAGTCTTTATTTATGATGAAGTAACCGAAGACTGCGCATTTAATATCCACAGAGTTCTATAGATAAATTTCAAATACAATCCACATCGTGGTACCCCTTCTTAAAACGTTATTAAAACTAGCTATAATTATAATTGTGTTGTGTGGGAATATTTATACAGCGCGATGTTTGTCAAATGAAGCGACATTTCTCTACGCTGTAAATAAGCAATTTAGCCAGCGCAATACGACCGCTAGCCTGGGGTCTTCAACGTGCGTCACGCAGTAGTGAAACACGAACGAGTGCCGGTACGATGCTTATCCAGATCGAAAACTAGCTTTAAGAAAGTCTATTTATGTACCCTTTCGGAAACAACTGGCTTTGAACATTTCGTTGAGTCGTTTTGCACCAGTGTTGTGCGCGTTACCGAAAAAAGTAACTAAATACGTTGCTCGTTACTCGCCAACAAAAGGAACGCGTTACCGACCTACGTTACTTCAAAAGAGGGAGTTTTCGTAGATCGTTTTTGACGTCCCGCAACGCTCTCCGCAGCTCGCTACGCTACCCGGAACTCTACAGGTAAGGCCACCGGCGCGCAGGCGCAGTAGCGACTTCGACGTTGCGGAGGGCTCAGCGGAGGGGGAAACACGGTCTACGAAAACTCCCTAATAGAGAGTTTTAGTAGATCGTTCCGATACCTCCGATAGCCCCGATAACGATACTATGCATGCGCAAGGGAGGCGGTGGCGGAGCATCGGGTATCGTTATGGAGTGATGGGAACGATCTACTAAAACTCTCTAATAAAAGGAACGCGTTACCGTTACCGTAAAAACGTAAGGTACGTTACTTTTCCGTTACTTTTTTTTATGAATTAACACGTTTTACTTTTTTGACGTACCTGTATGCATAAGCGCCATATTTCAAGGAACATTATGCCAATGCGGTAACTGAACATAGTTGCCTTATCTTTCCTTATCTTTTTTACGGTTCCACCTAAACACTCACAAGAAAAACAAAACAAAGAAAGACTCAAGAAACACCAAAAAATTAGGTGGCTTGGCGCCTAGAAACACAAAAAGCTGTAGTGTATTTCCTTTTTGAAGTTTTGGGAATATGTAACGAGTAACGTAACTACGTTACACGTTACTCAAATTAAGCAACGAAAGTGCTTTAACCGTTACTGTTTTAAAAAAGTAACGAGTACGTTACTACGTTACTGACAAAAGTAACGCGTTATCGGTAACGCCGTTACTTGTAACGCGTTACCGGTAACGCGTTACAAGTAACTGCGTCTTGCGCTCGAGCTGCAGGGAAGTACCAAGGAGACCTTGAGAATAGGTCGCAATATGTGAAGGCGAAGGGGAAGAGAATGTTGACACTCTTAGGACGTGTCGTGCCCAACGTTTAAAAACGTTCCCAAATAAACGTCAAAGAAACGTCGAATTATGTATGGGACGTCAAGGTGAAGCTCAAGACGTTGTTGGTACGTCTCGTCCTCGATTTTTCAAGAACGCCTTCGAACAGACGTTGAACAGACGTCGATTAATGTCTAAGACGTTCAGGTGAAGGTCAGGACGCCGTTACAACGTCTCGCGCTCGACGTTCAAAGAACTTCCTCATGTAGACGTCGAACACACGTCGATGAATGACGAGGACGTCGACGTGAAACTCAGGACGTTATTACGACGTTTTAAATATTACCTCTTTGGAACCTCACGTTGACGTCCTAAGACGTCGACAAAACGTCTGTCAAGGGCGTCGACGTCGTCAACGTCTAGAACCTTATTTCGACGTCATCTCGACGTCTTGTGCTGCCTGGGTACAGGCTCCCCGAGAAAATGCTCTGTGCTACCAGATCCTCGGGTTTAAAATCTGCGACCGGGCACTCTATGGCTCCGCCGTCCAACTGCCAGACTTTGTGAGCATAGAGGAGGCTATGATCCATGTTAAGTTTAGACGAAGTGTAGACGCGCGTTATGCAACCTGCCTCGGTCGAAGGTAGTTTTAACTATAAAGTCACTGGATCTTGGGAAAGTAGCGCCATTACCTTCTTTGCCTGCTAGCCGGACACAAACAGATAATACGCAAACGACCAAACCTAACAAGGTTATTGGCTGATCGCTCTCAGTTGTCATAGCAATCGCCATTTCGGTCCATTCAAATCGTCGAAGCTTCGAAAGGGTCGTTCTGAACCTGTCGCGCCAAGATCGCTATGGAGCATCATCGTACTGGAAGCGTTCCGCGCCAGTATAGCGTCTTTGGCAGTGTGCAGGCAATCAACTTATCAATCGTGCTTATTTCCTCAGATTACTTACAATGGTGGTGGTCTTGCTTAGTTCAAGACAAGAAAATTATATTTCGATGCCGCCAAACAATGACGTCACATATGGTGGCGGAGCGAAGATATGCTCTTGTTTCGCCGGTGTGTGGATAACAAAATTTTTGTATTGAAGAAATGTCTTTATAAAAGAACCTGGAGAGGCCAAGGGAGAAACTACTCAATCCATGAATCAAAATAGCGACAATACGGGGAGCGTGGCACTTCTTTCCCAGGATCAAGTGACTTTAATTTTACCCACGTTAGTTTCACTCTGTTGAACTTTAAAAGGACCTTGAAATTAATTTTGGATTGAGATAAATGGGTTTATATTGGGATTTTACTAATCGCGTATCGTTTAGTGGACCAAAAGAAAACTAGTACACAAGGTCAGAGAGCCAAAAGCCTGCTTTTTCGGTACTAAAATTTTAATATATAGCTGACTATTTTTTACCTCCTTTCTTCGAAAGCGCTCCGCCTTTTCACTGTGATGTATCGGCGGTGTTCAAGTGTCAAAGTTTCCACCGCGCTTCGAAAGCACGGTGGAAACTTGGAGTCATCGTACACGGTGCCCAATACGTCACGACCACGTGATTTTTCATTTTGCCTTTGAGTTGAGGATTAAAATTAAGGATGAAGAAATTAAAAAAAATAATTCCATGGTCTTTTTAATAATGAATATTATTTTCTACTGAGAAGGACAGGCATTGCGGTTATGACCTTAGGAAATGTTTTCTAACGTGAGTAAGCCAGCGGCTTCACAAGTCCGCGGTGACATACTTACAATATCGCACACCTCTGAGACAAATACACGCTGTTACTTCTCTAACCCCTGCTCTTCTTCTCACCCGTTGCGGAACCTCCGGAATATAGCGACATTTCCAAAAGAAACTGCTTTCGCGCGGAATTAGCGCTACGCTGCCCAGAGGAAGCGATCTTTAACCTGCCCCAAAGTGGAGCATATACTCGTTTGTGCGCATGCAAATTTTAGAACCTTCTATCCCACGCACATTTCACATGGCATTTTTATTAAAGCCCCCTAACGGTTACCACAAGTGGCCTCAGTTGCATGCTGGCCTACCCCGCAGTTTAGATGAAGTCGTGAGGCGTCCATGTTACTAGCCTCAGAGTGCAGCGTTGTTTATGTTGTATAGCTGAGACGCATCGTCAAAGTGGATGCGCCTCAGCAATAGCACAAGAAAGCCGACAGATGTTGCCGGCTCTTCGCCTTTGTGCGCTAGTTTGCCGATTGTGATCTGGCACTCGATCAAACTGTCATAGGTAACGCACATGTACCAGGGATACCTGCCTATTTACACGACGACGACAGGAACAGTACTTTGAAGCAAAGATTGACGAGAGTTCATAGGAACGTATTTTATAGTGCCAGATTTGTTTCGTTTTATTCGTTCATTGTTCGACGAAGGCAAATAGAGAACATTATATATTTTGAGAAAGACCATGTCTATGCTTTTGAAAGCCGTTCTTTTCAGAAACACATCCATAGCTCTAAGGACAGAATTCATGTAAATTGAACAACCACGCGCGCAAAAATATCGAGTAAGTGGAATGAATGATGCCAACAGTGTAAAGCAGTGAAGGCAGCCCATATGTGTATCGTGTGCGATTCTCGAATAAAAAGTAAAACCCCAGAGAGCGAGTGTGTCATTCAGGCGACGGAGTTCATGCCGAGCCAGGAGTACCCGAAGATGGAGCCGTACAGCCAGGTCTTCCAGAGCAGGCTTCGTCCAGCGGCCGTGAAGAGGAACAGGCAGATGAACACCGTCGTAAGGAAGAGTACCACGTGGTTGTAGAACTGCTGGCAAGGAACCGTCATGGGTTCGGACAGTTCCGAAGGTGCGCCGTCCGTGCCGTAGTAAGCCTCCAAGAGACTGAAAGGGATAAATTGTGGCCATAAGACAGACTGTTGCCATATTTACAGGAAGCAATATCAGACGGCCGCACAACTACTGCGTCTTTTCCCCTTCATTTTGGAAACACAAAGGACACAGGCAGAAGTTACGTGGAACCCGCTTTGTCGTAGCCTATTTTGATGCGGTCCTGCTAAGCAGGGTTGAACAGATGTTCGCTTCTCTCCAGTGCAAACAAAGCCGCGGGTGCGTGGCTTTGGAAAGCACCTCCTACGCACAAACTATCTGTAGTGTCATCATGACGTTACCACTCAGGAGACTGACCTGCCTGCGCATGGTAGGCGGCGCTCGCGTATTATCTGGACCAGAGCCGTATATTGGGAGAGTTTGGCCAGTGGGCGGAGCAAAGGCCGCCACCTGCGCCGGATATTTAGCCGCGATTAGAGAGTGAACTAAAAGGGCGCACAGCGTCGACCGATCAGCAGACCTCGGCGTGACAATATTGTAAAGGATATTTAAAGCGTGACATAGAACCTTTCAATATCGCAGCAGTAAAACGACGACGTTGAGAGGATGCCATACCGGGCGGCGGCGGTGCCTTAATCTAAGACTGGGCCTCGGTACCTCGGAGGCGGCAGCTTTCTGCTTTGACTGGCCTACCTCCTTGGAGCCTGATGCTTCGACCCCAATAATCGACAGCACCATCATGCTGCTGGGGCTTTTTTGTACAACCGTGTACCGATAGAACGGCAGGCTACATATCCCCTTGGCCCGCATGCTGACCCGCCTCAACGAAAAGACATCTTCATATCGATCTGACATCCTTCGCAATAGCAACGATCTCTCTCGTCGTCATCTTGCATGTGTATACTCATCGCAGTATCACGTTCATTAGACCGGGCAGTGCGGGCCTCCATGGTGCAGGCTGTTGCCTTTCCGCGGTGCCGCGGCTCTACTGAGCCGAATAAAGACATCACATTACATCACATTAGCAACGATTGTAACTATGCAGTTTGCTCTGGTTCGGAACGCGCGTTCGTTTATTCTTCCGTTGAGTATGAACTTGACGAAAACTTCACACGCCCCAAGTCTTCAGTCACCAAAAGTTACACATTTTCACTCTAGCGACGCTAAAACGCCTTAAATTAGTCGAGTCACAATTTTAGAGCTCATGACCACCGCTAGGGGCTGTTTTGTGGCCTGTGGTTGGCCATGAGATGCTTCAAACCAATGAATGGGCAAACTCTCCAATTATACGGCTCTGATCTGGACTAAAGCCCCTTCATGTTTCAAAAGTAGCGCAAGGTGTGCCGATGCACAAAGCAGCTAGGTGCAACGGGCAGTCCTGGGGAAGATCATGGCGGCACAGCGCAGGACTGAGCTAGATTTCCGACGCCATGTTCTTCCCAGGAGTAGCGCGCGGCACGTGTCTCGAGTATTTCCACAACAATGAATGGCGCCACTTTTTTCAGGAGAGAGGGGCTTTAATCTGGACGGGATATGGTTGTGAATATAGGGAATGCGTTTGCATGACCTTTGGGAAACGCCACACAGGTCCCCCTTAGGGAAACGCTAACGCTGACCCCTTCACTTTTCTCTTTTGGCTTTCTCTTCTGCTGCCGCCATTTTCTTTTTTTCTTTTTGCTGCCTCTTTTTGGTTTTGTTACGGGGGCCAAAATCAGCGTTTCCCAAAGGGGGGTTGGGTTGCGTTTCCCAAAGGCCATGCTAACACATTCCCTAGAGATCCATTAATGGGTCTTCCTTTAATTTTTACCGCCTCTGGTTTTTTTTTTTTTTGCTTTCCTTTTTTATACGCGCTGGTTCTGCTCATCTGTCTCGTTCGCTCGCCTTGCACGCTTAGCCGCGGCAACCACTGCCTGACGCTGCTTTCGCTGTTCACTGGTTTCAGCAGCCAGCACTTGTACTTGGTGCACACTCCATCTTGCAGCGTAAACCAAAGCATACACGCTCCGCACACCTGCAAGTTCAGACTCGCCCCAGCATCCGGGCGCGCATTGGTTTCCGCCCTGTGACGTCGCCTTCCTGCCACATTTGTCCTTCACTCTCATCCTCGCTAGGGGGCGCGCTTCTCTTTCCACTGTTCTGTCCAAAGACCGTCGGACGCCGTCAGGTTTTCCAGTCATGCAGGTGCGAATGCTAACGCAATAAAATACAATGTCTGGGAAGTCAGAAAGGGCTTTTAGAGACTCGCCTGGCACTTGGTCGCAATGTCGGTCTCATCCACACGTCGAGCCGTACGGTACACGGAATCTAAAACTGGAAGTCAACTTCTTTTAGATAGCCTTCCAATCTTTCAGCGCTGCCCACGTCAGCACTAGGGCTCCTTTTCCTATTTGAGCATACCTTTGAACTGGGCAGCCGAAAGATTGGAAGGCTATAAGGCCGTCAGAAACTCCTGCTCTGATGCGTGGCAAAAGGTAGGGGCTGAGCTTTTTCATTTTAAAGGTACAAAGAACATCGCAATTGTGGACTATATTTCCCGCTTTCCTGTAATCGCACTGTTATAGGTAACAAGTTATCCTATGGTTAGTACGCAGTTGAAAAGTGTAATTTTTTTGCCGGGCATGGCAATTTAAGGTCGCCATGGTCGAACGGTCTTAAGAGCCTCGAAAAAGAAAAATCACGCCATCGGAGAAAAACACAGGCGTATCTACGGAGGGGCGGAGCAAATATTACTCGTACTTAATACTTAATAGCCCCCATTTCCTAATTCAACACCTTGAGAAAAAGCAAATGTAGATCCTTAGTCTAGGCTTCTAGATAAAATGAAGTAATAGGTGTAACGAAATAGTGCTGATTGCTTGGTGAGTTAGTGCTGAATTTGAGAATATATTGGAGCGCTCGAAGACAAAGCAAAATGATAACTGGAAAACAGAACACCACTGTACGCTAACTTTCAGCTCTTTACTCGTAAGACGAAAGTATACACCAGCACAGTGTTAACAAAAAAAGGCCATGTTTGCCCACACCGTCTGTTGGCATTGTCCGTGTGCACAAAGCAGATTCGCTGAGGCGAAGCTTCTGCGCATACGCAGTGCCAACAGCAGCGCCAGCGCAGATGCGTGGCGTCAGAGCGTTGAGTTGGTGTATGAACACTGTGCCATTGCACGACTATCAGCCATACCGATACCACCCCCCCCCCCCCCCCCCCCTTTCTTGGATCCACCGCTGAGAAGGGAACGCAGCCGTATTCATGAGCGTGAACGCAAATATGTCCACCCCGAGATTTGTTTCCATTTGATTGTATAATGCTGCCATTTCGACAACTGCACGTTTGTCCAACGTGTTTCTTTTCACGTGGCAGTGGAATGTGATAGACGATCGACCGAGCTAGCAATAGCGGGCTCCTGTGATTCTTCCAGCAGCCCAAAGAGGCACTGCGTAGAGGATCAGTCAATTTACACAAGATAAACGATGGCTTCGTTACTCTGAAGCCTAGCTGACTTAGGGGTTCTAAAAGGTCCTTAGAGAATGACGAGGACATAAGCGTGGCTTGCACGTGACGTCAATGCACCATGCTCGCAGTCACTCCTGCTTGTTCTTGCTGATAACAAATTTGGTGTCGCCAAACGACTGCTGCAGCAGGTATAGACGTTCAGCAGCGAGGCAATCGCAATGGTAGGTGATGCGACGTCGACGCAAGCCATGTATTCTTTCAGAACGGGGAGACTTACGCGTCTTTTTCGTAGAAGAGGTCCAAGAGGAAATTCTTGAGGCCCTTATCGTCTTCGGGCAATTTGTCGACCGGCGTCCGCTTCACGTGCATGTGGATCTCGTCGCACTTGCCCAAGAACATGTCTGCGCCCCAAAACATGCTGCTGAGTGCACGACCACTTTGGAAACCGGACGCGGTTTGCATTCTGCAACCCTTCGAGCACTGCTCCCGTTGCACTGACACCACGAGAAATCGACGGCCCGAGTCTACAGTTTTCTTAGCAATTGAGTGTAAACTTATTCCCAAAATGAACTGTTGGTCTAGTTGGAAAAGCTATTGCCGTAATTTGCGTACAGACTACCGCGGTGGCTTCACACCTTTTTCGTAGAAATTCTTCTGTTTATTTTTTGATCAGGAGCGCAGTAAATAAAAGCGAGCCGGCACGGGCTTTGAGCGTTAACTGTGCTACTTGGTGTTACGGTGGAATTTTTTTTTTTTTTGTTGATTTCTTTGTGAGCGTGTGAGCTCAATCTTCATTGATTGAGCGCACAAGATTGATTGAGCGTGTGCGCTCAATCAATCTCTGTGAGCGTGTGCGCTCAATCAATCTCTGTGAGCGTGTGCCGCTCACATTGAGTACTATAAAGAGTGGCATTATCCTAAACTAGTGCCTTCATGTGGGCTTTCGAGTCGCCTACCCTAAACATAAGAACATTGAGGCACCCTGAACAAACGGGGCCAAACTGCTTCCCCGGGCATCCCCATCTATTGTAATGTGGATGCCAGGGGTAGCAGATGCGGATATCAGCAGGTCCAGATGTATACTTTGGCCGAGGCGGACCACGAACGACTGCAACCGCAGAGTGTGGGGTAAATAAGTGAGTGATACTATGAAGTACATCGAATGCTTTGCGAGAGCAGATTACTCTCTTAGAAAAAGAGTGGCCATCGGGACGAAAATTGTTCTTTACACCAGGAAAGATCCCATTTTAATAAATGTTGTCTTAGACAGATCTATAGGGTGTCCCAAGTCACCAGGCTCGATCGAAAATGAACCGCAAAAATCGACGCCTGCACGTAGCAATCTAAACTTTTCGTCAAAGGTGCATTTTACAGGTAAGTTTTTTTATTGTGAAATCAAAATGACTAGCTTTTTTTTGTTTAAAAATAGGGCCAAAAAACTTGCCAGGCTCAACGGCGGCCGGCGACGCAGACGACCAAGTCGAGTTACGGGCTGCGTTTGGCGCGCGTATTGATAGATGGGGTCTGCAGCAACGTCCAACCGTGTAGCCGACCAGCGAAAAAAAACATGCGACACGCAGACGAAATTTGTTGGTAGCGAAAACGTCGTCGTTATGCAAACGCATTTTTTTGCTCCTTGAAGTTTTTTACCAAAAGTGCATTATAAAAAAGATTATGTTCATTTGAATAAGTCATGGTGGTCGCGAGCAGTTTTGGTAAGGAGGTAGCGCGCCATCTATCAATACGAGCGCCAAACCCGCCCCGTTTCTCGACTTAGTCGTCCGCGTCGCAGCCCGCCGTTGACCCTAGTAAATTTTTTGGCCTTATTTTTTACAGAAAGAGAGCTACACTTTTTAATGGTGTAGACAATGATAAATATATGAAAGTGTCTTTTTACGTATGCAGTAGCAACGGCCATGCTTTAAAAAATTGAGAAAATCCTTCTAGGGGTGACGTACTGCGACGCTCCTTTTTGTAGAGACCGCGCGCGATTGGAAGCTTTTTCTATCGCGCGCCGTCTCGATAGCTTCCAATGACGCCTTTCTTCACGCACTCAATGTGTTTCTGTGTGTTTATGCATATTGTCCCCCCCCCCCCCCCCCCCCCCCCCGGGGCCCCCACGCACACACACTGTAATGCCTGATGGTGAATGGGGTACCTGAATAAAGATAAACGATAAAGCTAATTTTACAATAAAAAACCCACCTGTGAAATACACCTTTGACGAAACGTTTAGATTGCTACTTGCAGGCGTCAATTATAACGGTCCATTTTAGATCGAGCCTGGTGACTTGGGACGCCTTATATTTTGCCAAAAGTGCTATCCCTAAGGAAAGTACAAACCCTGTACTTGTTTCGCAGGGGAAGAGCAGAAAAAGTTTTTTTCGGGAATAACAAAAAACAAACCCCAAAACAAACAAGCCACAGAAAGTAGAAAAAGCGGTTGAAAATGAAGGTTAAAACGATCATTCCTAGCGCGCGGGCTTGGGAGCGGAAAAGAGAAAAGGAAGAAGTTGAAATAAATCATACACCAGAGCTGGGTCGTCCTGTTCCTTTCCCCTATGAGCGCTCTCAAAGCGCAATATTTGGTGCCGAAACCCGGGAGTTGAACAAAGTTGGACGCCGCATTGGTGAATATGGATCGACTAAAGAAGAAACGAGCGGTTTGACGCAGCCGGAACACCAAGCTCATAAATGAGATACGAGCTGCGCTACAGTCGGACCCCATGGACTCCAAGAGACTTGAAATGTTGCGTGACAGTGTGCTTGCTAGCAACCATAGGCGTGCGCACCGGGGGGGGGGGGGGGGGGGGGGGGGGGGCAGGGGGGGCGGCCGCCCCCTCAATCATCTAGAGGGGGGGGGGGGGGGGGCGCAAAGTTGGCCCGACTCGAGGCGCGACGGCGCCGTCGGTATAGGCCTCCTGCGCTGAAGCTTTAAACAAACTATAGCGCCCTCATTTTGGGTAGTACAAGCTCACCTGACTGAGCATAGCCCTACTTATGGCACGTTGGTCGAGCTTTTTCAATTCTATGTGGTGTTAAAGAGCGAAAAAACAACTTTGGACGCCAGAAATCGGCCAAACTCAACGTTGCAAGAGAATCGAAAGTGACAAATTCATAACACCACCGCTAGGGCACGCGTCTCTTATTTCTGGGTGGTGACGTCACAACACCTGTGTCGCGACGCTTTCATTTTTTTTTTTTTTTTTTATGTCTACTTTGGAACGCGTGAAACGGCATCTCTTGGCTCACGCTCTCAGCGTCTTAGCTTTGACGGCGTTCGAATTTTTGTTCTGTCTTTGTATTTTCATCGTGATCTCGCGCTCCGCACCAGAGCACACTCTCAAGAGAAAAGGGTGTCGAAAGGTGTATTCTTACACCCTTTGTCCCATATAATACACCGCAGAATTTCAATTCGACGTACAGTGCCCTACAGTCGAACAGAGGGCCCGAAATTTTACGAGGGGCTTGATAGCCGTGTGGTACAACATTTTAAATAGCTAAAGTACGTATCAAAGACCACATAAAGAAAACACCGAGCTTTTACAGTAGGGCCAAGAAAACCCGGATTATTTTTTTAGTGTTCAGTAAAACGTACTTTAGCTATTTTAATAAGTTGTACCACACGGCTATCAAGCCCCTCGTAAAATTTCAGGCCGTCCGTTCGACTGTAGGGCGTTGTATGTCGAATTGAAGTTCGGGGGTGTATTATATGGGACAAAGGGTGTAAGAATACACCTTTTGACACCCTTTTTTCTTGAGAGTGCAGGCACGCTTCTGCATGCGTGACAGTTTAAGACGTTAAAATTTGTACTACCCAAAACAAGTACTAACAAGCCTTACTCGCAGCACCCTCTGGGCAGCGCAGGAGGCCCATGGTTTCTTTTTCGACGGCATAAAACACCGACGCCAAGGTTCCCTCCTTCTAGTGCGGGCAACAAAAAAAAAACAACCATAAAAACACGCCGCGACGCAGTCAGTCATGGAACAGTTCGCGACAAAATCGCGTAGAATTTTGCTTTAGACTATTCACGATTGGTGAAAAGTACTATATCTCCCACGCGCTATACATTTTCAGTAATCTAGTCATAAAATATTTGTGCCACCACATAACATACCCATTAGTTTGTATAATGTTTGTTGAGCATGACATAATGCGTGCGTGTTATCTTGTTTCTATTACCTGTTTCTATCAAGCACCAGAAAGTAAGATTATCAACTGTGCATTTGGATGCTCAGAAGAGAAAAAATGGCATGTCATAGCGTTTATCTTCAATAATTACTAAATGTTGTAACTTGCTGTTTCGCGTATTTTTAATCTGCGGTATATTCTCGTGCTTTTAAGCTTTGCTATTACGTTGTGTATTGGGTGGCGTTTTTCGTCCTCCGCATAAACGTTGCAGACGCTTTATGACAGCTTTCGCCATGTGTAGGTGCACCCAGGCGTTTGCCCTGTATGTATACTATATTATACATACGAGCAGAGTCACGTTGAGGCAATATTTTTAAATATTCTGTGCTGTTAAAGATAGCATACGTGTCGTCTCTTTCCCTGGTTTAGAAAGAATAAAAAATTTTGTATGCGCGTTGTGTCACTGACGCCTCAGCTGCGCAGGGACTGCCTTTCTTTGCGGACGTTTCACAAGAAAGTGAAACCTACTGCTTAATAATATTTTGTATATGTTACAATTCAATATTGTTGAAATAAACGTTTCATAACCATATCTCGTCTCAGCACTGGAATATGAGCGGAAGGACATCAGTGGGAGTGCGTTGATAGAAAGCGGGGGGGACGGGGGGGGGGGGGGGGGGGCGGCGGGGGCGCTCTGGGGAAACCTCGCCCCCCGTAATGAAAAATCCTGCGCACTCCTATGCTAGCAACGACGAGCTTTGGAAAGTCAATGAGGAGATAGAGCCCCTCATCGACGACAACGACTTGGAGGAGGAGTACAACACCGTGGCTGACTTCGAGGACGAAGTTGCAAGGATTGTCAGCAGGGCGCGAACCCAGATGACACTGGACCGCCACGCTCCGGAGGCAACAAAGGCAGCAGCTCCCACTTGACCGGAGTGAAGCTCCCGAAACTACAACTGATACGGTTCCAAGGCGACCTTACAAAATGGCAACCATTTTTGGAACAATTCGACGTCGCGGTACACCGCAACACAAGTCTTTCTGAGCCGGAGAAGTTTCAGTACTTGCGCTCGCTTCTCGTTGGACCAGCAGCCAGGATGATCTCTGGGCTACAAGCCACCGTAGCATGTTACCAAGATGCGGTAGAGATGCTGACCGAGAGTTTCGGCGATAAACAACGAATCGAACGCGAATATCTGGGAAGACTGCGTAAGCTACCAGCTGTGAAATCTGAGCGCGACATACAGAGACTA